ACTGTTGAATGTCTTTCTCAAATACTAAGTTTTTCACAGGAGCTGGACAGTGGTTCATTCAAGGCTGGAGTATTTAAGCTCCTGAAGAATACTTGCGCTTTGGCTATCAAATGCACAGGTGACAAGACTGACATTGTTTTGAAGGTTAAGAAATTGAATACAATTTCTTCTGGTGGAAAAAAATATTTTCTTCAGGATACAAGTTTTAGGCTTGCCCAAGAGCTTAAATAAATCCCAGCTGACTATAATAAAGTGAAGTAATATAGAAATTATTTAGACCAGAAAAATGTAAACCTGGTTTACTACCAGTTTGATCCTTCACCATATAAAAACCTTAAAATCACTCTTGTGGATTTTTAATGGCATTGTCAGATGGTGAGTAGTGAGTTTGAAGAGAGAAAGCTGGGGCCAGAACATAGAAAGCTGTGAATGCCAATCTAAAGGATTTGAACTTTATTTGGTATTCATTGGGAGCCACTGAGAATTTTTCAGCAGAAAAGTGAAAGATGGACTTGGTTGTTAATTCTTGTGATATGAGGAACTGAGCCACTTAATATTGGGGGAAGATCAAGTGCGGGGTGTGACATAATAGTCTTTTACTAGAGTTATGGTCATGGATATATTTAGAAATGGATGCAACTAACATTTAATGGAGAATTGACAGCACCAGGCTAGATATAAGAAATGGAGTCAAGCTGGTGACCACTAAGGTTGGAAAACTCATGACTGGGATGGGAGGAGACAGCTGACCCTGATTCAAAAAATCTTGCTATAAGAAACAAAGCCAAACTAGGATTCTGATCTCAGGGTTTCCCAACCAATTCTCTTTCCATTGTAGCTACTGCCTGATTCGGAATGTTAAAGCTAGTTTGAAAGATTACAAGCCTTAGCAGGTAACCTGATATGGTACAACACTCAGTTATATTACCATCAGGATTTTTTTCTTAGATCCTGGTTATAATCTTAGCTTTTGTGCTAACTAGTTTTGTGATCTGGAGCAAATCATTTGCCTTTGACAGCTTTTATGGTTTTTCAATTTAATATTGCACAGATATCTTTCTTATCTACCATTTCTACTTGATAGTAGCCATGTGGATACATACCATGTGGGTCCTTTACATTGTTATAATACCTAAGATGTTTCTTTGTAAAAGGGCTTCAAATTAATGAATGCAAATTGTGAGAACCACTTGTTAAAAACAATAAGGTGTTAATTTAAAAACAAAAAATACCCCCAAACTTTTAACATTAATTTAGGCTGGAGGAGAAACTCCCCTACCTTTTGCTAGGCTTCTGATTACTTAAGAACATTATCTAACATTCATAAGTACGTGTGAACCACAGACACTTCCTACTTTATAACAAGAAAACACCTCATTTCCCAGGAGAACTTTTTCTCCCAGGCTTTTCTTCATACTTCCTTGTAAGATTTCATATGGCAGCAATAAAGGACAAAGGGGACCCTGAGAAACACCTTTCATATTTAAGGTTAACACAAAGCATGGTTTGGTTTCTCTACTTTAATGGAAGAAAAATATCTACATTTTATACTTATATTATAGGTTTCCTCACCTTCTTGTGATCGATGTTAACCAGTACTTGGTTCTTACTCCTGTACAAACAACTTAGAGCACTTAAGGGAGGGAAGGCAGGCAGGCAGGCAGCCCACAGAAGGAGGTTTTTGGACTCATGGAATTCTCCCTGTACAGCACTCTGTTTCAGTATAACCTCAAAATCCTCCAGGAACTCTGGCCAGTTCTACACAGCACCATCATACCACCTTTTCTGGGATAGTTTCCAAAATGTCTTTAGAGGCAATTCTGAAAGAATAGTTTCAAAATTAGTCTAAGTAACATTAATATTAGCATCACTACAGTAAGTACATGATTTCCTAAGGGTATCATTTTAAAGGATAATACTTTAATCTATGAGTTATGATAAAATTTGTGTTAAAAGCATTGAAGTTTATTTTTAAATTACATAAAAAGCACTGTTTAAACAATGATGCTTTTTGTAACCAGTGAACTTTAAGAAAACTTGTAGACAGGTAGGTGGGACTGAAATACTTTTGATTTTATAGTTTAAGGGCAAAATTAAGCACTGTGTATGTCTGCAACAGCTATCATTGAAAACTTTGAGGCTGCTGGACACTTGGTGAGGAATCAGTAGGGTTTTTTAAAGATGCAAATGAATGGAATGTGTTATTTCAAAGCCTGTTTGGCCAAAAAAAAAAAAGAAAGAAAGAAAGAAAAAAAGTAATAAAGCAGGATGGATGACCCACCTTTTTTGGGCTCAAGTGATCCTCCAACCTCAGCTTCCAATGTAGCTGGGACTACAGGTGTGTGCTATGCCACACCCAGCTAATTTTTAAATTTTTTGTAGACACAGTCTCACTATGTTGCCCAGGCTGGTCTCAAACTCCTGAGCTCAAGTGATCCTCTGGCCTCAGCTTCCCAAAGTGCTGGGGTTGCAGGCATCAACCACTACACCCAACCCCCATCTCAATTTTGTAGAGGCAGTATCGTATGAGAGACATAAAACCGTTTTTGTAGCTCAACAGACCTAGTTAACATTCCTGGCTTCACCCCTTTGTAGATGAGTAAACCTCTGCAAATTATTTTCTCTGAGGCCCAGTTTCCTTACTTGTAAAATGCCTGGTGAAGTGACTGGCAAACAGAAGGTATTCAAGAAATATAAGTTCTTTTGCTGAGGGTGTTTTTTTCAAGCTAAGGATTGCAACCCATTGGCAGATTATTAAATCAATTTAGTGGGTTGCAACTGGCATATTTTGAAAACCGAAACAATAAAAAACCTCAGAAGGGTAAGTATTGTTTGTTAAGCATATGCTAAGGTTTGATATAAATGCATTTTTTACTGTGGGTTACAGCCAAATGTTTTAAAAGTCTCTGCTCTACAGAGAAATTCTCAGATTATGGGAAAAAGGCCTTAGGATTGCTGCCTTTATCCAAATGAAGGCCCACAATAATAAGACCTTAATCAAAGAGTTCCCTACTTTCTAACTTGTTGCAGTAAAAATAAGACATGAATTGGAGAAGATATTTAATTGGATATGATAAAACATTAAATTCAATTTTAGGACTGATTTCTGCGTCATACTAACTACTGCTTATAAACACTTTATCATTTATAGTTGATTAGACTCTTCTAGCAATTTCTATGAAAAAGTTGGCTATTAGGTTCCATTATGGGGAAATGAGATACTTTTTAAAAGGACTACAACTTGCCTATGTGTGAATACCACTAGAGTAATATTCCAGTCGTGATGAGCAGTAAAAGTCAAGGGCTTATATGAGTACATACAGTGGTGTTCCACACTGGCTCAGTAAAAATGAGAGACACCAACACAAAGTCTGAGCTTCAAATACAGGCTTCCTTTCTCCTTCAGGTCCTTATGTAAACCAGACTTACCTTATAATGAATCCCTAGTGCTGCTGCTAAGTTGGTGGGCTGAAAGGATAGACAATTTGGGGTTGGAGGAGTGGAGTCATATGCAGTGATGAAGAAGGGTAGATACTGGGAATTTCAGAATTAAATGACACAGCTGAATCTTGATGTAACTGTTTCTTATATTTATAATCTCAGCTGACTATGCTGGACTAGTGATGCCAGAATTACCCCTGGAACTGAGGTTTAGGAATCTTGCTTTAAGTTAAGTGCCTGGGTGAGTTCTAATCCTCATTCAGGTTTGAACATCCTGTGTTAAAGGGACAGAGCAAGGCCCAGAAACTAGAGAAGAGGTGTAGTTCAAAAGTAATTATCCCAGCCTCACAGGTGTCCAATATCAGATACTGGATCTGACACTTAATCAAAGTATTTCCTTCGTAGTATTATTATGTTAATGATAACGTTGCAGCAGAGAGCAATACTTCATACTTTCTAGCTTTTTAATGATACTAAGAAATGGTGCTGTTTCACTGGAATTCACTGGTGAGATTCAAGAAGTATGAAAGAGAAAGTCTCTTTAGATTAGACAGGGACATGAAAGGCAGCAATCAATAAGTTATTAAAAGTAGGCCAAGAGCGATGGCTCCTTCCTGTAATCCCAGCACTTTGAAAGGCCAAGGCAGGCGGATCACCTAAGGTCAGGAGTTCGAGACCAGCCTGACCAACATGGAGAAACCCCATCTCTACTAAAAATACAAAATATTAGCCAGGCATGGTGGCAGGTGCCTGTAATCCCAGCTGCTCTCGAGGCTGAGGCAGGAGAATTGCTTGATCCCGGGAGGCAGAGGTTGTGGTGAGCTCAGATTGTGCCGTTGCACTCCAGCCTGGGCAACAATAGCAAAACTGCATCTCAAAAAAAAAAAAAAAAAAAAAGTAAACTCAGAAAGAAAGAAGTGATAAACCACCCAATCGCCTGATAATCCTTAGCCCCTGTCAGAGAGACAGCTCACACTTTCTGGGGTGCAGGTGCCCATTCCTATGCTCAGAAAAGAGTAAAGACTAAGGCAAAAGGTGATTCCCTACTGTTTTAAATGAGGTTGGGTATAGAGGGAGGCTGCCTGTAACCTTAAATTCTTTTTTCCAAATTTAAAGCCTTTGAGACAGACATGAGGTTGGGCTGAACCATCCTTGCTGTCAATGTCAGGTGTTGAGATTAGCACCACACCCTTCCCTGGGTCTGAGTCTTGCATGGGGCTTTGTCCATCATCGTCTAGAATGTGATAAAAGTAAGCATGGGAACACCATTTTGGGGAAGAAACAGCAGCTATAAAAAGCAAAGGAATGCATAGGAGATAAAATGTCTGGGGAAAAGGATGGTAGTAACACAAGTGAGGTAGCAAGTAAATTCTCAGCTCCCCCCGGAGACCAGCTAAAAAGAAGACTGAGTCAGAGATCCCCTATCTGGCAGATACGTCACCCCTCAAAATTGGAACATGCCCCAGGAAATGTCCTTGCTGTTTTTTTCTCCTTGCTCATTTTAACCCAAACTCTAACAATGTTGAAAATATCTGGAAATTTTTTTCTTTTCTTTTTATCTAGAGGTTATACGAAGGGATGAACAGAGATGAGAGACAAGACAAAAAGTGTTATGAGAGAATTCCTCATTATACATGGGTAGAATTCACCCCAGAAACCAAAGAACTTCATAAGGACAAGGGAGGGATGGCACAGGGCACAAGATCTTTAAGGTGTTAGGAGACAGGCTGACAGAGCAAGCTTGATGACTGGCTTCATAAGTTTCCTACCACTTGAAATTCTGTGTTATTTATTTAAAGAGAGGTAGAGGAAGAGTTCAGAAGCCAGTGTCACAAATGAAGATATCTGGAAGAGAAGTTGAGCCTCTTTCATTTTCTTACATCATTAATTTCCTTCACCAGAAAATATAGTTGGACCAAACTGCAATAGGGTTTGCCAGTTGACTCCACTATGCAGTCCACCTGTACTTCTCACTAGGTCCTTATTTCCTCATCTGATAACAAAGGCTCCTGAACTCTTATTCCTTTCCTCGCTAACAAACCCTGGTAATCTACACTTAGCCTGAAGGTCTCCAATTCAGGGTTATGGAAGAAACTAGTCTTCCATAACCCAACGTTTCTACACATGTCAAGTCCTTATCTGAGTTACAGGTTCAGTTTTCACATTTCCAGGGAGAAAATCTGCTCCTTGGCAGTCTTCAAACATTACCTGACATATACATTATACACCCTCAGCCCAGGGCCTCTATCTCTAACATCTCCATGAACACCCCAGCAAACAACAAAATATATCTGCTTATCACACTTCAGTCCCACTTGAACATCAGTAGCCACTATCTTGATATACTTGTGTTTCAAAAGGTGATGGAGTGTCCAACAGCAGCAAAGGTCCTCATTAGGATAGACATGTTGGCACCAATAATATTGAAGTTTGGTTTTTAACTGCATTTTTTGTCAGTTTGGCTGGGAAGATCTGGACAGCTGGAAGTGAGCTTTTCCATCATTTTCTGTTTCTTTCTTTGTATCAATTTTCCACCTGTGAAGCCCAACACCCCACCACCAAGTGCAGCTGCAATTCCTGCCACTTTGAAGCCTGCAAGGAGGCCAATAGGACCCCCTACCATTCCTCCGATGAGTGCACCTGCCACAGGCAGAGCTGCCAGCTTGTATTTTGCAGCCTGTAAAAAAAAAAAAAAAAAAATTCAATTTAGAAACTGAGTTGAGAATATCTGCCTGTGGTGATGTACGTTTTCCTCTCATTACTCCTGGCAATGCCTCTTTAACTCTTGGTACATAATTAACCTTAGAGACTGAACTTGTAGGGGGAAAAAGAAAGTATTCCACAGGTACTGCAATTGCTCCAGATCTCAGAACTTAAGAGAACTGAGCTACGAAGAGTGGACTGCTACAAATTGATTTTACTTGCAAAACAATCAATTCACTATCTAGCTGGCTTATTTAAACTGTTTCGGCAGCCACAGATTCCCCCCAAAGCTTTTATGTTGCACTGAGATTATTCTGTGCTGTGTGCCTGGGGTTAAAAGCAACATCCTATGGAAAATAGATGGTCCCACTCCATGTGTGCTATCACATACTTACACTTTCACCCTCTGTAAATATTCCCTGGAAACACCAAATGCCTTATAGCACAGCTACAGTTTATTCTCTCTTTGAAGAAATTACTCTCCTGATAGAATGAATGTTAGAGTAGAATATTACAACATTGATTTCTTGCACTACCTATGTGTCATTTCTTCCTTATTTCCTTAATTGCTGGTTCCCTCAACATTGAACAGAGCAGATCAATTGGGTTAATACTAGAGATTCCTGGGAGTCAAAGTACCATTGATTTGTCAGCAGGAACAGAATCTTACCTTCCCCAAGTTTTTGGTTCCCTCCTCAACATTCACAGCGGCACTGTTGACATGGTCTGCAATGCTGTCAATCTTCTCCTGCTGAGACTAGATGCAAAGGAATTATGAGTGAGCGGACCTGCTGGGGAGCAGCAGGGAGCCAACACACACTATTTTAATTCCTGTAATCAGGTCCCCAGGTACTGCAGCCTTGCCATCTTAATATGGTTCATTAATAGCATCTGATAAATCATGTCAAAAGGACAAATTAACTTTCATAAGAAAAAAGGGGGGGATCTTAATTATTAGGTAATAAAAGGGTGGCAACTTTACAGCAAAAAGCATCTCACACTAAAATTCACTCAAACATACAAACATATTCTCCAAATGAATCTACATACAAGAAAAAAAGTCCAAATAAGCATTTACATGTCCTGTTGGGTTTGATGGAAAAAAACAAAAAAAATCAAACTCCCAAAACACCTCCTTAATTCAGCTTCTTTGAAGATTCAGCTTAAATCAGGCACATTTACCTTAGGAGTAAAATGCCCTTGGTCCAATAAATACAAATTGTTATGTTTCAGGAACAAGACTAGAATATGGTTTGATCTACTATGAGCTCTTTCCATTTGTAATATGCAGTAGGGATCGGTGAATGAATTCACTGTTCTGTGTTTCATACCTGTATATCTGAATAAATTTTAAAATCATGACAGTTTAAAATGTTTCCGATCAAATATATTAATAAAGAATTCTACATAAAATGGCAACACCTGTGCTGGCACAACAGCAACTGTGACTCATGGAATCTCTGGGTGGAAGGAATGTTGAGGTCATCGGGTCAGTTCTCCTCTCTGATGTATGAAGCCCTACTATAACATTCCTGACAAGTGGTTACTGAAGTTCCGCTTAGACACCTCCAGTGACACAAATTCATCACTTGCTGTAGGAACATATTCCTATTTTTAAATCAACTTTAGATAGAATTTACATATAACAGGTACTGCTTTTAATGGAATAGTATGATGAAATTTAGCAAATGTATAAACCAACTATCACAAATGTATAAACAACAAATGTATAAGCCAACATATAATTAACTATCACAAACTGTTTACAGACTATTTTTTTTTAATGTGTCGAAAAAAAGAGAATCTCTCTTTGATCCTAGATAGATGCCACCTACAATGAGGGTGAAATAATTCAACTTTAATCCTGAAGTGTTTGATTGCCCTTATATAACTGACCTATTCATTTCTATTGAGGCAGACACAAATAACACTTTTCTAATTCCAACCATCATTTCATTGGAAAACATGAAGCTCAAACAACACAGCTATTTTTTCCCACGTTTGTTTCCTCTTAGCATTATTGATATTCCTTCCCTTCTCATACATAAAATATCTTTCTTCACCATTGTAGTATCCCTTCATCCCAGTATTCTCCACCACTATCTTGACATCTCTAACACAAGCTCTAAGGAAGTCCCTTATCAGTTTTCGTTTGAATGTCTCTGTCAGAGACAAGTTTAACAATGGTTCTCAGTCTTTCATCTGGAGGTTTCTTTTTTTTTTTTTTTTTTGAGACGGAGTTTCGCTCTTGTTACCCAGGCTGGAGTGCAATGGCGCGATCTCGGCTCACCGCAACCTCCGCCTCCTGGGTTCAGGCAATTCTCCTGCCTCAGCCTCCTGAGTAGCTGGGATTATAGGCACGCGCCACCATGCCCAGATAATTTTTTGTATTTTTAGTAGAGACGGGGTTTCACCATGTTGACCAGGTTGGTCTCGATCTCTCGACCTTGTGATCCACCCGCCTCGGCCTCCCAAAATGCTGGGATTACAGGCTTGAGCCACCGCGCCCGGCCTGGAGGTTTCTTAAAACACAGATTGCTGGGCCCCATGCCTAGAGTTTCTGATCCAGTAGGCCTGAGATGAAACCTGAGATAATAAGTTCCCAGGTGAGGCTGATGCTGCCAGTCCACAATTCTCACACTTTAAGAACCACTATTATATGTGCTCAGATCAAGGGCACCACCTTTGTCAGATAATCTGTGTTCAAATCTCAGCTAATGACACTATGTGCTCTTAGACAAATTACTCAAGCTCTCTAGGTGTCAGTATTCTCACTTATCAAGTGAGAATGATGAAACTTATACCTTCAGAGAGTTGAAGAGGGGATAAAATTTTTTGCAAAGTGTGAGGGGAAAAATAGAAAAACTCATCCTGATTTCCCCAAGGAAGTGTTAACTCTCATCTTTCTATCAAAAAATAGATTTAACTATTTATTTTGATGCTTGAAAATTCTATGGCACTAAAACATTAGATATCTTTCAGCATTCATTCATTCAATTTTTATTGTCCTTAATGGCAAAACTTATTTAAGTCAGCTTTCTTTTTCTGACTCACAGAAGAAAAAGTACCAGCACTAATAATAAACAACTTGTCTAGATTTCTGACACCCTATCATTGTTTCTATTTAGGACACCCCCAACACTTTCCATTCTTGCCTGGAACAGTCTATGCTAGCAGATAAATCACAGGCTTAAAACTTTATCATCAGCTGTTATATGTTGATGAGTTGAAGAGTAGAGGAAAAACAGTCAATGTGTTTTCCTTCCTTCAGCCCCAAAATAATTCCAGCAAAAGGGAGGAGCCTGCCAGGATTGTTGCCATTTCTGTACCCCAAGTGTGATAGTAAAGCCCCAGGGAAATACTTTTTAATGTTCCTTCCTTAAAAAAGGGTTGGATATTGCAGATGTAGTTGCTGATACATTAAAAAGAAAGGGGGGGATTGGATATTGTACTTCTACGACTTTTTAAAAATTAAAGCAAAATTTTAAAATAATTTAAATATTTTTTCATAAAAATCATTTGGAATAACTGAAGAAGCAACCACAAGAAAAAAACAATCCTGAGATCACTGATTATTTGAACTACAAAGTTCCTCATTATTGCAATCACCAGCATTTGATGAGGCCCATCCCACCCTAGGGAGTAGCCCACATCTATAAGTATTTATTCGTGCCATCAGAAAGCATGCTAAAATATGGCGCTGGGGTGTGGGAAGGAGGCAGAGGGCAGACAGCCCCTATCCTGGAATCAATAGGCACCCTTCAATTGTGCGTATCTGCCTTTCTCTTGTCCATGTTTTGTTTGGTTTGCGACTTCAAATTCTGCTTCTTGAGTAAGGAGGACTCAATGACCCCCACAAAGGTTTCAGTTAGGCAGCAAACTGTTGTCACAAAGTTGTCAATCATCATCAGTAGAGTGCCAAACTAGACTCCACGCAGAGCTAAATAGTGTCACTACCTGTTCACTATGTCCTTGGGTCTTTTTGTGGGACCAAAAGATACATATACAACCTTGACCCAGCCTGTAAAATGAAGTTCCAGACATTAACGGTGGTTTTCACCTCTATCTACCAATCTCCCCTGAGATTTTTGCTTCTGATTTGCTCATGTTTATTTTCATCTGCCTAGGCCTCCTACATTTGACAATCTTCAAATTCCATGACTGACATTTTATAGTTTGGCACCCCAAATACGTTCTCAGTATTCCTTTAACAATGAGCTGAACTATGTTTAAGTGTTTTGCTCATTACACTGCAGTGTTTCTCAAGCTAGAGTAATATATAGACTCCCTTCTACAGAAAAAAAAAATCTCAAATGACTTTAAGAATATGTCTATGGATTTCATTTTAAGGAACACTAAATTAAGTCCCCCTATTGGCCTGAAAATAACAAATCATGATGAACAGCTATAGGAGTACCTAAGTTTCTGTATAAACTGTGGTTTATTATACTTGTCAAGCAGAATGCAATTTGGGAATATAAATTCAAAACCAATGAATTGTTTTGTCCTTGAATTCCTGTTGGGGACACTTGTAGGCCTAGCATCCTCTATGTCTAGCAATAGTAATACATTCAACAAATTAATCCCCAAATCCATTTATAACATTAACAATGGTCTTCCTTGGAGAGTTCTGACAGTAGTTGTAAAGTTTAAGGTTCTTGGAAAGCTATGAGTTTATTAAAAGGGTAATACCAAAACTCTAGGTACTTCCATTTATTCCTCTCTAAATTTTAGCCAGCCTTCAAGGCCAAGTTCTAATCTTAGATCTTGACCAATCCTGCTCACATTGAGCTATTCTGGTTCTAAAATCCTATGGTATATCCTATATACTCCTTAATCATATGCAATCATATACACAAAAAGGCCCAGAAACAAACTTAAAAATACTATGACATATTGGCAAAATAAATGATTATACTGGCCTCAAGTAGGCAATAAGCAGAGTAAATAAGTAGGAAGTTGATATCAGAGGATTCATCAGAGGATTTAGTACTGAAGGAATTCCAGTACTAAAATGCCGAAGGATAATAGTGGTGGAAAAAGTAAAATTTTTGCAAGGAGCCAAAGACAGAATCAAAATAAAGGAAGGACAAAAGTGGGAATGCAGTTGAGGTCAGTGAAAGGGAAGAGAATAGAAAGTACTTAATAACACACATTATCTCATTTAGTCCCCCCCATCAATGTTAAAAAGGTCACTGTTGTCAAATAACATCTTGAAGGTCACATTGGTAACAAATGAAGGAATATGATCTGATCCATTGCAACCAGTTTTTATGCTTCCAGAGTAAAACTGTATTACAAAAACCATAGAATAAGGCAAAAGGCAGAAGTCAAAACTGACTAGCAGCAAGGGTGAGTTGTTACTGAACTATTGGCTCAGGGTTCTTTAATTTCTCCTTGACTAGAAATACAGCTAGTTACAAAGTTACAGGAAGAGAAGAGGGCACTTGAACAACAAAGTTTGCAGAAAAATAGAGCAGCGTGCCTAGTAGATATTAATTTATTAACATTTATTGGACTATAACCTTGATCTGTCAATGGCTTTGTAAGTTTTTTGTAGTGGTAAAATAAATATAACATAAATTTACCATTTTAACCATTTTGAAGTGTACAATTTAGTGGCAATAAATACCTTCACAATGTTGTGCAACCATTTCTACTATCTTGTAGGTTTTTTTCAAATGCTTTTTCCTATTCTTCATTGAGTTTAGCACAGTGCTATGTACATAGAAAGTATTCTTTGAATACATGGTTAATTTGCCTAGATGCTATCATGTCCATGTGATAATAATGAAAGGATGTGGTCACTCTGGTTATGTTCCCAGGTCATTCTGTGCTTAAATACAGCTTCTGTGAATCCTTGACCATGTGGTCATGAGAACTTAGTCACCCTGGGAATAATAATCAGGGGTTCGTTCTCCTTTGAGCTTTTGCCTATTAGCATTTTGTCTCATGTACTGATACAGATTATTATAAATAGAACATTTGTATAGAGCTATGGCTACAGCCAGAGTGTTCCTGCACAAATCTCCCTTAGATTAGAGGTTATGAGCTGCTTACATAGTATAATCAAACATGTAACTATCAAATAGTCACAAACCTTTAATTTTTCTTTTATGTGCCTATCCCAGAAGAAATGTGTTTGTATCGAGTAAGAACTTTGTGCATGTGTAGTTTGTTTTTTAAAATCAGCTTTACTGAGGTATAATTTATATACATTAAAACACATTTTATGTGTACAGATGAATGACTTGGCAAGTGTATATATTTGTGTAACCATACATGTATATGTTTTTACAAACTGCACTGGATTCAGAGATTATTCGTTTACAGTAGTTGAATAAATATTGATTCTGAAACAACAGATATTTGGGGATTCTTGTTCTATTACTTCCTTCTGTTTGTGAGTATATTAATATTGTACAGAAACCTACTCCAGAAACTTCAAACATTTTGCTGCTTCGAACTTAAAGGCATCAGAAACAATTCAAACAATTTACTAAATTCAATTTTAGGTAACACATTTCAAGAAAATATCCACCATATAGAACAGAAGCAGAGTAAGGAGCCAGTATTGAAAAGTCTAAAAATTATATTGTAGAAGGAATGCAAAAGAAGCAAGGGTTCTGAAGAGAAGAAAATATGGTGGGGGTTGGGTAGAGTGAGGAAGAATGACAGTTTCGAAACCCTGAAAAACTTTCACATGGAAAGAAGACAAAATTTGGTCAGTATGTAGTTTTGAGGCCAAAAATGCCAAAAAGAAGTTATTATAGGGCAGACACTTCTAACTCTAACTCTTCTAAGAGTTACAGACTCCAAATGTAATGTTTTAAGTATCAAATATTCTTGTGCTATAATTGTTCGAAAAGAGGCTAGAAGACCATTTATTTGAGAAGTTAGGGCAAGAGTAGAGGGATTACGTTAGTTGGCCTCTTGAGTCTTTTCCCATTCCAATTGTGATTGTATGACCTAGGAACTTCTTATTTAAAACTAGATCTCAGAGAAACCATTAACTCAAAAAAGACAACCCCAAAATCATGGTTTGATGGAGAACAAAGAACTAAACCTAGACAGAACTGCAAGCAGAAACAGGTATGTTTGTGTGGATACACACAGATAAATATACATACACACATGTATTCATACATCCTACCTTCCCATAACTCCTGGGAAAGACAAATAGGAACAATTTAGAAAAATGATGGAAAATCTATCTTTCCCACCAAATTGACTTTCTGCTTCCTAATCTATGTTAACAGTATCAATGACACCCAATTATGCAGAATAAAGACTATGTGCCTTAGCTTTGACTCTATCTTCCTCCAATTTCTGCTAAGTCCCCCAGAAATATCTTCCAGCTGTCCTTTACCTTTACAGTGGTATTGTCACTGCTCCAGGTGAACTCTTAGAATTGATTCCTAGCCAGTCATCTTTTCCATGACCTCCTCCTCTCTTAGGCCATTATTAACAAAGCCAACAGTGATCTTTCTGAAGCAGAGACTATATTTCACCGCTCTAACCTGCTCAAGAATCAGTATTAGGCTCCTTAATGCCTACAAAGTAAAGTTCAAATTCTTTGGCATGGCATTCGAAGCCATCACAATCTGGTCCTCAGCCTCCTTGCTTGCCCATAGTATCTTAAACTTTGGTTATACTGCAGTACTTGTCATTCTGGAACAGGCCATACATTTCTCTATTCCATATCTTTGTTCAGCTTCTCAAATATACTCCATAACTCCCACCTGTGGACATGTACTCATTTTTCAGGGCTCATACAAATACCATCTACCTGTGTGAAGCTATACTTAATGCTTCCACCTCATGACCCCTCCCTTTCTCCCTTGGAATTAAACGCTTTTCCTTGGAGCTGATAATACTTCTCTTCCTTCTTGCTTTTGCATTTGGCCATTATGCTTGAAAGCTCCGTTTCTGGGGTGCAGGCCTATCTCTACTCACTGTAGAATCCTCAAAGGCGGCCAGGCATGATGGCTCACACCTGTATTCCCAGCACTTTGGGAGGCCGAGGCAGGTGGATCATGAGGTCAGGAGTTTGAGACCAGCCTGACCAACATGGTGAAACCCTGTCTCTACTAAAAATGCAAAAATTAGCCAGGCATGGTGGCACACATCTGTAGCCACAGTTACTCAGGAGGCTGAGGCAGGAGAATTGCTTGAACCTGGGAGGTGAAAGTTGCAGTTAGACGAGATCGTGCCACTGCACTCCAGCCTGGGTGACAGACTCTCAAAAACAAACAAAAAAAAGAATCCTCAAAGGCAGAGAATGGGCTTCATTTATTTCTACATCCAACCTGAACATACCCTCAATGTTAAGCATCTAACACAGTGCCTTTACATAACAAGTGACTAATAAATGTTTACTGAATTAATCTGGAATTTGAGAACAGTTAAACTTCTATCTATGGCTCAATACCAGTCTTAAAAATTATAAGTTCTATTAAAATTCTAATTAAAAGCCTAATAACTACAAAAGCTTCTCATTCTAATAACCTAACAATTCTGCATCCAAAACAGTTATATACTTACATTCACTAGGAGAGAGAAGTCAGTGACCAGTTGGCTAAGTTCAATTAAGTCCTTTAAAAGAAAGGGAGAGGAAGTTACTTTTATGCCTCACAGCTAGCAAAAAGAAAATATTTTTTAACATACCGCTTCTAAGGTTTCCCATGATTCTGCAGCATTTTGATCTTGAGGAATTTCAGGTAAGGCATATATCTGAGTCAAACTCTGAGAACTAGCTTCAGCTTCAGTAGTGTGAAATGCTCCTGGATGAACATAACAACCCCATGTTTAGAGTTTATTTGCCTTGTTAGAAAGGAGATAGCATAAATTGATTTCACAAAACAAATGCCACATAAAATGCTAATTAAATTTAGGCTAAAAGGAAATTGATTATTCTACAAAAATAGAATTGTTTGGCTGGGTGGAGTGGCTCACACCTATAATCTCAGCACTTTGGGAGGTTGAGGCAGGAAGATCACCTGAGCCCAGAAGTTCAAGACCAGACTGGGCAACACAGTGAGACCTCATCTCTACAAAGAAATTAAAAAATTAGCCAGGTGTAGTGGCACATGCCTGTAGTCTCAGCTACTTGGGGGGCTAAAGTAGGGGAATCACTTGAGCCTAGAAGGTCAAGGTTGCAGTGAGCAGTGATCATGCTACTATACTCCAGCCTAGGTGACAGAGCAAGATCCTGTCTCAAAAAAAAAAAAAAAAAAAAAAGATTTATCCATGGGGCATCTTGCTCCCTGAGTTAACACATTTTTTTCTTAAAAAGAATTTTTTTTTTAAATTGAGACACAGTCTTGCCATGTTGCCCAAGCTGGTCTTGGCCTCAAGTGATCTTCCTGTCTCAGCTTACCAAAGTGCTGGGATCACAGGCGTAAGCCATGCAGGCTTACACACATACACACACATATTTTTTGAGAAGTTTCGCTCTGTTGCCCAGGCTGGAGTGCAGTGGCGTGATCTTGGCTCACTGCAACCTCTGCCTCCTAGATTCAAGCAATTCTCCTGCCTCAGCCTCCTGAGTAGCTGGGACTAGAGGCACACACCAAGACATCCAGCTAATTTTTTGTATTTTTAGTAGAGATAGGGTTTTACCGTGTTAGCCACGGTGGTCTCAATCTTCTGACCTTATGATCTACCCATTTTGGCCCCCCAAAGTGTTGGGATTACAGGCATGAGCCACTGCGCCTGGCCCCACATATACATTTTTAAAATCTACACAGTCATCTAAAGTATAGCTATGAATAACATCTATCCAATCTGAATCACTAGGGCAGATGTGGAAGAAGCACCAAAGGAAAACTATTCTACTTGGCCAATGTTCCAAGGAGACATACCTATATAAATAGGTTTAATACTTTTCATCCTTAAACTTCTATTTGGCTATTTCAGTAGTAAATACTAGATACAGAAGGTGTTTAAAGCAGAGAAGTAATGTGTTTTTATTAATGAAATCAGTCACTATTGGTAACAATAAGATTGTCACCAAATATTCTTACCACATGTGTCTTTTTTGTCACTACTCTTCTCCTCAGAGTCAATCTTCTGGCCCATGCCACCATTGCTTCTACTTCTTTTGAGTTTTAAAAAGGGATCAACCTACTAGTTCTTTTCCCATTAAACACCGCTATGATAATGAATTAATTCATACTTTAAAATCTACCTTCAAGTTTTTATTTCCTCATATTGGTTTTACCAATCATTCATTAATTGAGTTGACATTTATTAAATGCTTACTACATGCTGATCAGTGTGGTGAGGTGCTGCAGACACAATGGCAAACCATAAAAAGTTTGGAGGAGGTAACATAGTACAGTGGTTAGGAGCCTAGACCTAGTCAGAAAGACTTAGGTTAGAATTCTGATTTGGCTATTTATTAGCTGTTTGCCTTGGGAAAGTATTTTATCCCTTTGGCTGGTTTTTGTCATTTGTAAAATAAGGTGATACTTACTTTGCACAGTACCTGGGTTATACATACAGTATAAGTGCTCAATAAATTAGTTACTACTGCTGCTATTAACAGACCTTACCATAAAATGTGTGATAGAGACATATTAATAAACAAGTTCAGTCAGTATAGTCTAATAAGAACTGTAATATTGGTAAGTATAAAGTGCTACATGGGTACAGATGAGAGATATTTAACCTAGACTTGTGGAGGGGAGAGTGGTCAGAGAAGGCTCTGAAGCTGAAGCTTGAGGATGAACTGAAATTACCATACAGGTGAACTGGGGCAGGGGAGGAAGGAGAAGCAAAGAGTATTCAGTTCAGAGAGAGCAGTATGTGTATAGGCTTAGGGACTGAAAAATGTTCAGTATAGCTGACTGTGATAAGGAGAAAAGCAAAAACTAAGGCTGGAAATCTACTTTGAGATAATTCATGGCATTTGTAAACTATGTTAAACAGTTTTGTTTTTCACAAAAGATCAATATATTACTATTAAAAATAGCTGGAGACAGAAGGTGCCATGATCAGATTTTAGATTTACAGAGGAAACTATAGCCACAGTGTGAAAAACACATTAAGGATGGAGTTGAAAGGTGAGAAAATTAGAGAGTAAAAAACCAGTCTGAAGGCTTTCTAATACATCCAGTGTAAAGTGATGGTGATCTAAGATAATGATAGTAGAAATGGAAACAAGAGATCTGAAGGTCTACTATCTCCCCTTTACTTCAAGTTCAAAACACCACTTAGATTTTCTGAGCACCCATTGAGTATCGTTTTAGGTTACCAGGGATAAAAAGTAATTAACACAGAGTATATATTCTCAAGAAACTTATATTCTAGAAGAGCCAGACATACAGAAAGAAATCATAAAACAATAGGAGACTGCATTGGTATCTATCTGGAATCAGATATAAATACATAAGTATTTGATGAGAGTTCAGAGCTATGAGTGGCATCTGATCTGGTTTGATATGGTATGCAGGTTATGGGAAGCCTTTCTAGAAAACTTGAGGTTACTAGGCAATGAAAAGAAGAATATACATTCTAGATATAAAAACCAGTAAGAACAAAGGCCCTCAAGGAAGAAATAATATAGCTACGTAAATCAGCAGTTTGATGGTAACAAAGCAAGAAGTAAATGACAAATTACAAGTATAAGCCTATGGATGGTCAGGATGGGCCTTGCAGACCAGTTAAAGACTTTGGACTTTATCGGTACACCAAAGAGAGCTGTTGGAGAGTTATAAGCAGAAAAATGCCACGATGACGTGTGGCACCTGACCTACTCCTAAAAGTAAGCAATTATAACTCTAAGTCCCTATTCTCTCAATGTTCTTTTCAGCCAAACCTATAATTGAAATAGTATTTTATAAAACTGCATTACTATTTTACCTTTAAAGCTTATTAATTCTTTATCTCTCCAGGAAAAATGTTTAAATTGTTTAAGAAGGGCATAGTCAGTGGACTAAAAAGTAATTTGTAGATTTATCAGGACTGACAGTGTTTTGAATCTTATCCGAATATATTTATTTAACTTAAAGGAAGAGCAAAGGCAGCCGATATAGCGTAAGTTTTACATTAAGACGTTATGGCAAATAGCCAATATTTTGAAAGTTCTAAATGTTTTTTTACAAATGCTTCAACTAGTTATGTACTCTATATATTATCACCATAAAGACACTCTCATTTTCACTTCAACCAAGCTAAATGAATTACTCTATTACCTTTCTTCAACTTAATATTTCCAGGTATTTATACTTTTTTAACATTATAATGAATTAATGATAATTTCATTATTATTAACAAATCAAATATAAAGGGGAACTTTATAATCATGCCCATTCTAAAGATTTTTTAAAGCCATAATTTATGTACTATTAAAGAGGATTCAAATGAAGTATTCAAGGGTACACAACAAAATGAGGAGAGATTATCATATATTCGTACTTAATCTAAAAAAATAAGGGATGGGAAATGTTTGACATTTTAAATAAACATAAAAGATTTCCTTCAGTAAAGAATAAAAATGTTTAAGTCATTTACGTCTAACTTGAAACCAAACTACGTATGCAACTTAGTTCAAATAGAGTCTTAGAACAAAGAGGTCTGTTTTCTTCCATTAAAAAAACTCTGCTGTAAACTTAATTCTAAACCCCACTAATCAGTTCAAGGCATGACAATCAATTAAAGCAAACCTTCTAATTTATACAACTTCCATAATTCATTTATTCCAGCTTGCATTTAAAATCACTACCTCAATGATGATCTTTTGACTTTGAACTTTTACAAATTGCTAAGGACGTGGTAAGGCAAAACACTGAGATAGATTATAGTTTCAGGAAAGAAGGCTGAAGAACTTTAGCTTTGTCCACAGAAGTAAAACAATTACAACTGTTTTATATAACATAATCATCTCAGGTACTCCCAACCCAGACACAAACTGGAAACATAAAGGGCAAGTAAAACATAATACCTAGCACTCACCACTGTTTTTTAAAACCCAGAATTAGTTTTAAAACCTTATTGTTGGCTGTAAACTCAAATAAACATTAAGAAAACTGGCTCACTTTCATCAAAGTGAGAAATAAACTAAATAACGTAAGATTTTTCCCTTTTACATATATCCAAATATTCTCTACCTCTTTCTCCATATTTTATGAACAGCAATCATTTTACCAAGAATTATAATATATAAAAAATTTCCACTAGACTTCACCACATAATTTTAATTCAAAAGCTTTCCTGAAATGTTTTCCAGTTCTGATAGTTTAAAAATAGTGAAATTAATTTATTGATCATCTACATAAGCCTATCAAAATAAAATTACTTCTAAGCATGGCTTAACTTAGCTGCAAATGAAGACTTCAAAAATTTAAAACCAATAGAAAATACATCTTTTGAATCACAAAAACCATTTACATGTTTCACAAAACTGTTCAGGGCATGTATATAACTGTGATAAAAATCTAAATTTCATCAAATTCAATATGCTGGTCTGAAGTTCCCAGCAGTTTCCAGATTAATTCTTTTCTTTTGGAAATATTTGTTTAAAATGTAATAAGATTCTGTTCCATTTGCACTGCTGAAGTGTGTGTCCTGAGAGTAAAGAAAGACAAAAATGGAGAGAACCACTGATTCGCTCAACGATTTGAATCACCTTTCTAAATACAAATCAGATTTGTAGGCTCCTCACTTCTCTTGGTGGGAAGCAATATGCTAAAAATGAAACCAGACACAAAAGTGAGACAGAAGGAAGTTTCTCAGATCAAGAAGATTGGCAGAGAAGATTTGCTTTAGGAACTCTCAGAATATGGACAAAAGACACAGCAAAATCATCACAGCTTCTCCCAAAACTTAATAAGCTTCTTTCATTCTCCAGAGAACATAAAATGTCCTGTTCTACTTGTTATTTGTATCTGTAAATGAAAAACCATTTTTGTATTTTTGATCATACTCATGGAAATGTGGCAACATTGCTCCTGAATCTCTGCGGATGTTTGCAACCAATTTATTTGGAATCAGATTGAATTTGTAAAGTAAAAAGTATTTTAAGGCACTTAACTTCTATGAAATAAAACAGATTTTCCATATAGGCTGTTGCTACTATAATGAGTATCTAAAGCAAAAATAAGGAAAAACTGGAGAGCACAGAATAAAAACATGTAGAATAATGAAAACAGTCTATAGCTAGAAGACCAAATATGGAGCAAACCCAATTCCTACCCAGTATTAAAGTGCTATGTAAATTGGCTATTTGCTTTCATTTAATTATTCATTTCCTTTCCCATCCTCTTGATTATTTATTAATAATATTTCTGGATTTGAGGCAATATAGTAGAAATGTTTCTCACATTTGGTGAAGTAGGCACTTGGTGAGACAGTAGTTTTTTAATTGCTTTATGTTGGCTATGGATTCATAGTGAAAGCACACTGTGACAAGAAGACTATTCAGAATTTGAAATTCTGTTAATAGAATGACTATCTCAACCAGGCGTCCCCAAACTATGGCCCGCGGGCCGCATGCGGCCCCGAGGCCATTTATCCAGCCCTGCCGCCGCACTTCAGGAAGGGGCACCTCTTTCATTGGTGGTCAGTGAGAGGAGTACAGTATGTGGCAGCCCTCCAACGGTCTGAGGGACAGTGAACTGGCACCCTGTGTAAAATGTTTGGGGATGCCTGACAACCAAATCAATACTAGTTAGAGATTTTAATTTTGTAGTTTTCTCCTAGTAATTAGGCCTTTAGTAGCCTATTTGGTGAATTCAGAAGTTTGAGAATCAAGAGAACTGGGAAATGAATTTCACCTGCTATTTCTTCTCCCTCATTCTCTGGCTCTGCTCCAATGTTTTTACTTCCTTTATGCACACACTTCAAAATCTGCCCAACTTTTTTTTTTTTTTTTTTTTACACCAATCAGCTTCTTATAGAGAAAGTTAATTGCCAGTAAACTGGGTAAGCTGCCTTCTTCTATTAATGATAATAATCACGCAATTCCTCTGATGATATATAAGCCCAAAGTTGTTGATCCCAAACAGTTCTGTTAGTAGAAACACATATAATGCAATAATAAAATGCAAATTAAAGCCAAGTATTAGGATATTATCATATTGTGAGAAAACTCTCAGAACTTAAAATTTTTGTTTGAATAGGGGAATTGCTAGAGATAGTTAATTGAAAGCTACACAGCAAAGAGACTGATTCTAGTTACTCTTTCCAGAAAATCCAGCTTATCTTCACAGTTATTACTACCATCATAACTATCATAACGTCTGGGTACATAAGATGGGTCCTTAATCACACAGAACTATAGAACCCAGTTTTTCTACATGTGCACATAAAGCATCAGTTTGCAATAAGTGATAATAACAGACTTCAACCTCACCAATATGGCAACGATAACTACAGGTGAACAGAATAATGAAATGGTAACTACAAACTATCAAAAAGCATTCTTTCCAAATATTTTTCAACCAAGGATTGAGTGCTAGCATCTCCGTCTCTCAAAAACATTTAGAGTACTGATTATCCACAGAGTGAGGTGATTACAGCACATGTGAAATTACAAAATTGTCTCTAAGAAGATATTTATTTATTTATGTTTATAAAACATTTATGAATGGTCCACTATGTGTCAAGCATTGTGCTAGGTACTAAGGCTGCAACAAAAGCAAGATTACCCAGAAACTCTGAACAGTAGCCTAAATGTTTCTTCCAACAGTTTTTATCTCTCTATAAATGACCCAGTCATTTATAGAGAAATAATAAAATAAATAACACTGAAAACAAAAAATAATATGGCTTTGGAGATAGTGAGTGGTACAGGAGTGCTCTGAGTAAATAAAAAGAGAAAAAATGGGCAGGTGTAACATCTCTAAGTTTCTATTCTAATTTGTAATTTACTTGTTTATACTCCATTTTTTCCATAGGATTAAAGGTAGCTTAGAATAATTTATAAAATATAAGAAGATGAGACAAATTACAAATAAAAGAGAACAAAAAAGAAAACAAGGGCAGTAGTTATAAAACAAAGCTAGGATAGGTTTAAATATTTGACTTTTGGTGGCTAAAAATTTTGGCTGTAAGCTTTCTAGTAAACAATTTAAGTAGGAAAACCTTATCAGTTATTCCATTCAATATCCAAAAGATAAAAAAAGATCAACTACTTTGAAGAACTACTACATATTAAGCCAAGAATATGTTCAGAGTTAAAGACATTATTATCATATGATTGGCAATTATCAATTACATCCTCAGAAGAGATGTAATGACAAATTTCACAGGGCTGTTCCTTAGAGTATCACTTCACAGAAGATGATGGCTTGACTCCCATTGTAGATTTCTTAATGTTGTCAGTTATTCAGAGAACTCGGTTGAAAAGCAGATCTAACATCCTCTCTGAAAACCAGAATGCTTATGAAAAAATGTATGCCTGAAGAGGTCATCCCTGCACCTGGAAAGGAGTGAAGAGTACTCTGCAGACAAGAATGACATTATGCTTAGGAAATATATTTAAATTTCTCTTCAATAAATAGACAAATGGAACTTGCCCTGAGGTCCCACTCCATAAGCATAGCCTCACATTTTTCATTCTGCAAAATATCCAGGGTACACATTTCCAAGCACACTGATCAGGGTCCAAGGAGTCAGCATATTGGGACAGTGAATGATCCAAGAAGACCTATAGATAATTCAGTATCTACTCAAGGAGGTGAGCTTTAATTAACTGCATTACTGTAATTGAGAATAAGACTTAGTACAATACATTACCACCAACAGTCATGGATCTGGTCAAAGGAGGCTGTAGCAAAGTTTCTTCATCATTAAATTGCTTCTTAAGTTCTTCCACAGATTCCAAATGGAGTTGAAGAAATTCTGCTGTTGCTGCTGATGCTTCTTCTTTAACAGGATCTATCATTCTCTTCAGAAGTACTAGGTCATCCTTTCGGACTTTCAAACAAAGTTTCTCAATTTCTCTGATATTGGATCGGAGTTGCTATAAAAGAAAAAAAGCATTAATGCCACCATTTCTTAGTATAAAATATCTTTCTTTTCAAAAGTAGTGTTGTAATAGTTGTGGATAGAAATTATTACAAATGTCTCCACAATAGGTGTAGCATAATACTTTTACATTTTCCATGTCTCTGGCTGGCCAAATCTGGCAATTTTGGAACCCACATCCTCATACTTTGAATATATTTAGCATTTTTTCCTTCACTAAATGTGATTATTACAAAGATAAATGCTCTTCACAATAAATCAAACACTGCAGAAACATATGAAATAAAAATTATTTTCTCACTTTACTTATCCCACTCGCTCCCTTAACCCAATCCTCCCACACATTTCTCATGGCTTATGCACACATTTAACATATATAAGGTTTCTCCTTTTTTATTAAAAAAATGGATTACATTATACACAGTAATATATAATTTGTCATTCCATACCCAATTTGACAGTACCATCGTGGATATCCCTCCTGCTCAATGGTTGCACTATATTCCATGGTGTAAGTGTAGAATAACTTATTTAATCATTCCTTTGGTGATCAACAGTCATTCACACTGTTTCTAATTTTTAGTTATTACAAACTATGAAACAAATATCCTTGCAATAAATCCTAATTTACTATATTAGTATATATTAACATTATAGTACATACTAATATAAACTTTTTTTTTTGTAGGAAAGACTCCCAGAAACTGGAATATTCAAATGACAATGGGCATTTTTATTTCAGAAGCTATTTTTTTTCCCCAAAAAGCTTCAATTCATACTAGTACCAAAGTATGAATGCCTATTTCTCCACATGATGCCAGTCCTGCATGTTATCTTACTGTTCTTTACTCTGCACTTCTCCATGAATGAAGTTGTTCAGATTTTTATCAAATGATTTTCCTTCTTCTTAAGAGATACCTACTGGCTTAGTCATAAATTTTCCTCTAATACATTGTTATAATGAATTATGTACAGATTTTGTGGTGTAGAGTCATCTTTATATTCCTGGCATAAATCCTTTCTAGTCAGTATATATACTTTTAAAATACAATGCTGAATTCATTTGCTAGTATTTTATTTGGAACTTTAGCATGTGTGTGTGTCTGTGTGTGTGTGTGTGTGTGTGTGTACACATATATGCAAATACACAGTTTGTGTACTTCTACTATCTTTATAGGTTTAAACTCATTTTTACAGGTTTAAGATCGTGCTAGCTTCATACAACACACTGGGGAGCTTTCTCTTTCTCAATGGTCTATACTTTGAAAACAAAAAAAACTATCCCTTGAAGATTAAATAGAACAATTTTGCAAGAATAATCAAAGTAAGATGTCTCAAAAAAGTTATATGTCTATTAATGTATTTTAAATTATTTTCCCTAAAGTATTTTCACAAATGTTAATGTAAATCCTATATAGTAGACAAACGAATAAGTATTAATTCCTTTAATTTCTGAAATGTATACTCTGAGTGAGGTGTTACATTATTACAGTCCAAATTATTACATATGGAAAAAGCAAAACAAAAAAATCTGTTTAGGATTTAGTTACCTAGTGGCAAAACTGGGGTTAAAGCCCAGGTATTCCTATAGGACCAGCAATCTTCCAACTAAACTACCATCATAATGCCTATCTATATATTATCCTAATATAATACAATCTAAATTTCCATTTTACTGCAGTAAAATTAAAGTCAATTCTAGAAAAAAAAACTAATTTAGTTACAACCTAAAGCATCTTTTAAGATTTTTGGGGGTGAAAAAATTATCCCTCTATCTTACCATGACTCTGTACGTCCTATAACCTTATCTTCAGTCTCTTACTATTCTAATATGAGCTGAAAAACCTAAGGATAATTAAACTGTAGATTCGAAATATGTGAAAATGTAGGTATTAATATGTTAAAATTATATAACCTTAAAGGGGGCCTAGGTGAGCATCTAATCTAACCTTGTAATTTTATAATAACGAAACTGGAGTCCAGACAAACACAGTGGCAAAATTAGGACTACAGCCCAGGCCTCAAATCCCAGAACAAAACTGTTTACAACACACCATCACTTCCTGGCTGTGTGATTATTTTCTGGACCACAATTATAAAGCTTGGTTATATAGTTGCCACACAGTCTACAGAAATATTTTAGGTAATATTATCTTGGAGAAGCATTAAAAATTTTCTACAGCCAAACCTAACGAGCATTTGTTTGTGGCATCTTCCTCTCTTATATAATTTGTATATATGTCTGTCCCCAGTCAAATTACAGTATCCAGCTAAGAACTCTATTACTATGAGTAATGGGGTAATAGAGTTTTGAGGGAGAAAAAGAAAAAGCCCACTGAATTATAAAATCTGATACTATAATAATAGCAACAACAAAAACATAAATAATGGCTAAATTTTAATCAACACTTAAAGTTATCCATTGTGTTGACTGCTTTATGTTTTTTATTTTCCCTTCACAACATATCTTTGAAATGGATATTACTATATTCTCATTTTACAGAAGAGAAAATTAAAACAAGAAGTTCAAAAAGTAGCCCAAGATTACATTGCTAGTGAGTGGTATAGGCAGGAATCAAATCCAGGCCACATATCTTGTGTTCTTAACTACTTCATTACATAGCAAACATTATCAAACAGAAATATAATGTAAATCACACACACAAGTCACATATGTAATTGAAAAATTTCAAAAGTTACATTAAAAAAGTAAAAAGAAGCCAGCCAGGTGTGGTGGCTCACGCCTGTAATCCCAGCCCGTTGGGAGGCTGAGGCAGGGAGACTGCCTGAGGTCAGGAGTTCGAGACCAGCCTGGCCAACATAGTGAAACCCTGTCTCTACTAAAAATACAAAAAATAAGCTGGGCGTGGTGGTGGGTGCCTGTCATCCCAGCTACTAGGGAAGCTGAAGCAGGAGAATCACTAGAACCCAGGAGGTCGAGCTTACACTGAGCTGAGATCACCCCACTGCACTCTAGCTTGGGCAACAATAGCAAAACTCTGTCTCAAAAAATAAATAAAAAGAAACAAGGGAAATTAATTTTAATAATATTTTTATTTAACCTAATATAGCTAAAATACTATTTTAATATGTGATTATAAAAACTATTAATAAATGTCTTCTTTTAAGAAGTGTCTGTTCATATCCTTCACCCAGTTTTACAGGGTTGTTTTTGTTTTTTTTTCCTGTAAATTTGTTTAAGTTCTTTGTAGATTCTGGGTATTAGCCCTTTATCAGATGGATAGACTGCAAAAATTTTCTCCCATTCTGTAGGTTGCCTGTGCAATCTGATGATAGTTTCTTTTGCTGTGCAGAAACTCTTTAATTAGGTCCCATTTGTCAGTTTTGGCTTTTATTGCCATTGCCTTTGCTTTTTTAGTCATGAACTCTTTGCCCATTCCTATGTCCTGAATGGTACTGCCTAGGTTTTCTTCTAGGATTTTTACAGTTTTAGGTCTTACATTTAAGTCTTTAATCCATCTTGAGTTAATTTTTGTATAAGGTGTAAGGAAGGGGTCCAGTTTCAGTTTTCTGCATATGGCTAACCAGTTTTCTCAACACCATTTATTAAATAGGGAAGACATTTATGCAGACAACAACCATATGAAAAAAAGCTCATCATCACCAATCATTAGAGAAATGCAAATCAAAACCACAATGAGATGCCATCTCACTCCAGTTCAAATGGTGATCATTAAAAAGTCAGGAAACCACAGATGCTGGAGAGAATGTGAAGAAACAGGAACACTTTCACACTGTTGGTGGGAGTGTAATAAATTCAACCACTGTGGAAGACAGTGTGGTGATTCCTCAAGATGTAGAACCAGAAATACTATTTGACCCAGCAATCCCATTAGTGGGTGTATAGCCAAAGGATTATAAATCATTCTACTATAAAGATACATGCTTATTACAGTGCTGTTCAAAATAGCAAGAACTTGGAACCAACCCAAATGCCCATCAGTGATAGACTGGATTAAAAAAAAATGGGGCATACATGTACCACGGAATATTATGCAACTATAAAAAAGGATGAGTTCATGTCCTTTGGAGGGACATGGATGAAGCTGGAAATCATCATTCTCAGCAAACTAACAAAAGAACAGAAAACTAAATGCCACATATTCTCACTTATAAGTGGGAGTTGAACAATGAGAACACATGGACACAGGAGGGGAACATCATACACCAGGGCCTGTTGAGGGGTGGGGAGGTAAGGCAGGGATAGCATTAGGATAAATATCTAATGTAGGTGATGAGGTGATGAGTGCAGCAAACCACTATGGCATGTGTATACCTATGTAACAAACCTGCATGTTCTGCACATGTATCTCAGAACTTAAAACATAATAATAAAAATAAATAACTATTAATAAATATTTTATTTGTAGTAAGTCTTAGAAATCTGGTATATATTTTGTAATCGCAGCACATCTCAGTTCAAACTGGCTACATTTTAAGTGCTCAACAGTCATATGTCGTTAGGAGCTACTACATTGGATAGAGCAATTACAGAGTCTCTCTAAAATCAATAGAGGGAACAGGATGGTAAAATCATATGTGAAGAACATAAAGTTAGGTGTTTCTGCTTCTGAAAATAGCAGAGTAGGTGATTCAGACTAATCTTCCCACCAATGGCTACTTAAAATGTTGAACAAAGGCCGGGCGCGGTGGCTCAAGCCTGTAATCCCAGCACTTTGGGAGGCCGAGGCGGGTGGATCACGAGGTCAAGCGATCGAGACCATCCTGGTCAACATGGTGAAACCCCGTCTCTACTAAAAATACAAAAAATTAGCTGGGCATGGTGGTGCATGCCTGTAATCCCAGCTACTCAGGAGGCTGAGGCAGGAGAATTGCCTGAACCCAGGAGGCGGAGGTTGCGGTGAGCCGAGATCGCGCCATTGCACTCCAGCCTGGGTAACAAGAGTGAAACTCCGCCTCAAAAAAAAAAAAATGTTGAACAAAAATCATATCATAAAACAAACCAAAAGGAAA